TTTTCAGTCTTTATGATGGTAAATTTTAAATCTATAAAATTGTTACATCCCCGGCAACGATATACCAATAAAAACTAGTATAATAATAAAACTTTGACAAGCCATAATGAATTTTAGAAAAAAGTGAGTGAGTATTTTTTTGTTTTCAAATTTTAATTATCCAAAATGAAAAAACAGATTCAAATTCTGATTTTGACTATCTTGCAGTATGATAACAGGATTATTCTGTTATTTGACTTGTTCTCTTCCTTTAAATGAAACTTTTTCCTTCATATGGCCTATTCATTTATTGGCTTTTACAAATTGATATCAATAAAAAAAATAACGATTGGAATAGGTTTTTGCTTCAAAAGACAATAAAACTTTAGACAAATGAGAAGTAATTGAAAATCTGTTGAGCAGAAACATTTCAAGAAAAATTAGAAAGATGTTGAAGCAATCTACAAATTGAATTATTTTTTCAATTTCTCTGCTTATATTCCATTACAACAACCAGTGATAAAATAAATTAAGAAATTTGATGTGAAGCAAGAAAAATCTAAATCCAAAGGGAAAACTAAATCCATGCCTCTCAAGAGAGTGTTGTCACTATATTTGGCAGTAATTTGAATATGATTGAGTTATTAGATTTTCTGAGCCATTGCTAACTGCAATAATTTGTACCTCAAAATTATTTTTGGCATTTTTATTAATTTTAATTGGACCTAATAAATTTAGAATCCATTTCTTTTTTACTCAGGGTTTTTTTTCTTCTCAATTTTGTCATCATTATTATTACTAATATTGTTATCATTAATTTTATTATTTGGTTATAATCAGAAACACATAATTCCTCCTCATTCTATTCTTTATCAAATAGATTTTATTATTTGTTTTTATTTTTAGTCTATAATTTAAGAATTTGGAGTTTAAAAAGCAACTGAATTTCAGTCATCAATCAAAGTGTTATTTTACACAATTCATTTTCATTTCTGTATTCCATATAACAAAATCTTGATCTTTTATTGTAAACATCATACTATTATTATTATTATTATTATCATTATTATTATTTGACCATTCAGAATCTAGTACTAACTTTTCTGTCTGTTCCAATAAACTCACCCATCAGGCAATGATTAGCAAACTGATTTTACGACTGAGTAATGAAAAGAATTTACTGTTATGACAATGAGATATACAGAGCCACAAATATTGCACAAACATAATAACAGAATGTTAAATTAAACTACTATTACTATGTAAACAATTTCTTTAGTTTATTCACTAAAAAAACTCATCTTATAGATTTTCAAATATTACACATGAAAAAAAATTATTAATAATAATTAGTAATAATCATAATTATATGCAGAATAGAGATGGGAAGGAATAATGATGAATATATTTAATATTATATAACATATATTATACACATACAATTTTATTTTGGGCATTTCCGGGCGAAAAAGAGCACCTGTATTAAATATCAATATTTTATTTGTTTTTAAATGAATTACTTTTATGCTTTTTATTTTATTATTATTTTTTAATCAAGCTCTCATTACTTTTTAATAAGTTAATTCTGGAAAGCATTCTGTCACGCGAAATATTGATTATAAAGAATATAGGGTGCAAGGGTTAAAAATTATTTTATATTTTTAATTTCATGCATGTGTGTTGTTTGTTTTGTATTTTGTCGACTGCACAGTATAGTAGGGTCAGTTAATTCGCCTTGAATAGAGAAAAGCTGCATCATGACAACAATTCACTCTGCTAGAAATTTTGTCTGGACATGCTGTACTGCTTACCATTCACACAAGCAAAGCTCCAGTCATGGCTGTCAGACAATTTCTGCGACCACATCACCCCTTACATCTGGTCACCGAACTTCCTTGATTATTATGTGTGAGGTGCAGTTGAGCAAGAGACCAACAAAACTCCTTGTAACACCAAAGATGAACTGAAGACAAGGATTATGGCAGCATTCACCAACTTAACAAGGAGACTGCCCAGAAGAGTTGCAGGAGATTCCAAAGTCGACTGGAGGCTGTGGTTGAAGCCAATGGCAATTTTATTGAATAAAATTAGTCTTTCTTTAGTATTTCAAGATATTTTTGTGTAATTTTTGTAATCTGTTATGCCAGTGTTATTTTCGTTTTTGTGTAATTTAGACGATAATTTATCCATCGCACGCCGATAAGAAAAACTCAAATATATATTTGAGTTTTTGGTGAAAACGTTAATGATTGTGAAAATTTTATTTCCTTAAATAAAATTCAAAAAAGGAAACTATGTTACTTTCAAAATAAAAAAAAATCTTATAGCTAAGTGAAATTGGAGCAATCAGAAAAAGAGTTTTATAGAATAAATACAAATGTAAATTCAATTGAAAAGCAGAAATGATTACGTGTTTGCGCACCCGTGCTTAATCACATCAACTGTCATGTAATATTTCTTAAATTATTTTAATAGTTCCAGAGAATATTTTCTCAGCATCTGTGCACATTTATTTATCAAGATTTAAAGGGTATAGAGTTTTTTTTTTAAAAAACAAAATCAGTGTTGAACCTTTTCAAAGGATAAATAACAACTTTTCAAAATATCGCATTATTAAATCCATATTATAAAAAAGTACAAAAAAATCTCCAAAAAATATAAAATATTTTTTTTGTTATAGACAATAGCCCTAGAATATAGATTAAAAAATAAAAAATGTTTAAAAAAAGGGCCATTTTTTTATTTTACTTTTATTTTTTTAAATTTAAGGCATTATTAGACATTTTGGGGGTTTCTGACTTTTAATTTTTTTCAGTATTTATTTTAAAGGACTTATCTTTAAAAATGTAAACCTCAATGTAATCCGCCTTGATACACAATTAAAAATCATAAAGTTAAAAGAGGATTGCATCACAAAAAAAAAAAAAAAAAAGAACCTTAGCAAACTTGTACCTTCATACCCGTAAAAAACGGAGTATCAAAAGTAGGCTTTTTTCCCTGACATTGCTAGTTCTATTTTTTCAAGTACAAAGAAAATGTGTAAGTTCACTTTCATATATTTAGGTTTTATTACAATTCTAATCATCACTTTTTAAAACAAACATTGAGGAGTGAAGGTAGTTAAAATAATAGCGGTGTCGATGGAAAAACCGTCATTTTGACAGTTTCTTTTTTTGCGGGCATGAAGGTTCAACTTTGCCAAAAGAATTTTCTTTAAAACTTTGAAGAGAGACTGCTTTATCTCTTTTATAAATGCTAAAAGTTTTATTAAAAGCCAATAATTAGATAAATTTTGGTAGATTTTTTAAATCGATGTGTTTTACGACCATAAAGAAAGGCAATGCTATTTTATAGTGAGAGTTTACACACAAAATAACGTTTTTAAACGCAAATATTTCCGATTCTACATAAAATCTAGAAATAACATTTAATTGCATTTTTTTCTTAATTCTTTTGCCTTTTGATTAGTAGAAAAAATGACCACGTTCCATAGCTTTTTTTTAAACTCCAGTGTTCAATTTTCCGAAAGGAAGAAGAGTGGGACGAGATACTTCTTAACTTCTTATCTTATCTGATACCAATTTTTTTAGGTTGCGGCTCTAGTGAAAAAAATTAAAAGGGAATATATTCATGCAATAATCAATCAACGATTTTGTAGTTGAGTGATCAGGCTAAAAACGAACCACAATTTTTACACTTACCTCAGATTTTATTATGCAAGTCAATGTTTTCGCAATAAAATTGGTATTGACTTGTTATGGCATCAGTTTAAAACTGACTGAATTTTTTGAGATAATGATTTACTGATAAAAGTCCTAAAAATTAACCCATAGCTAGAAGGTAGAAATGTTGGATTCATGCCTTTCCCAATATTTGCACGTAAGTGAATAACGAACCATGCTGGAATTGAAACTCGGCTCTCCGATTTCCAATTCTGAGCTGTTATACACCACTTTCACATCCAATCTTAGAGCATCTGATATTCCCAAGTGGTTAACCATCAATCAAGGTAGTGATCAGACTCAACGTTGCTTAACTTCGGTGATCGTATAAGAACCGGCGTTTCAATATATTTTGAGAGCCGTGGCGTAAAAACCTGTTTTGCTTAAAGTTCGTATTTCTTTGATTTCAAATGAAAAATTTCCAACATAAAACTGAAACTTTCTCTTTGCAAAATTATAGTTCGGGAGAAGGGGAGCATCTAACTGATGCCAAGAGGATGTGGGTTGAAAATATCTTACTAACACACTATCTCTTTTAAAAATTTTAATTTTAGATTATTAACCATAACCCCAGTCTTTATTTTTCAATAAAATATAAATTAACCAACTCTTTGATAATCCATAATCCATTCCAAAAGATTTTGCTTCGACCACGTGTTCTTTATACTAGCAAAGAAGTACACTGTACAATGTAATTCCACCTACTAATGAAGCTTTATCTTTTATGTGCTATATCCCTTCAGGATATGGGCGAGCGTGTCTCTCAGAAATTTCCTATCTTTTGTTACACAGTTACACAAATAATTTTTGACGCTTTACTATTCTTCATTTTTTCTTTTTTTTTCCCATCCCTGTCCAACTATGCAGCCACACAAACTCCTTAAGCAGACTATACTGTTTCTCTTTTGTTAACCGATGCCAAAAAATAAAGATCAATAAAGAAAGAACTAGTCCTTGGACATATGATTTTCCAAGCTGCGTCTCTCCATTGCACCAGGATAGGAGTCAAGGACCAAGGTGTAAGAAGCTCAGGACTTAGTCCTAAATGCCTTATGGCATGCCAAATGCAAGAACTGGGTACTTTTCGTAATTTTCTCTACGTCCGTGTGGAGGCTAAGAGGCCATGTACCATAAACAAATTATCATCAGTGTTACTGTTAAATAAATGAATTTTGTTGCTATGAAATGCCTCCCCAGCAAAACACCCCAAAAAAAACAAATCATCATCAGTTCCTAAAAATAGGAATTTAAAACAAAATTAAAATTTAAAAAAAAAAACATTAAAAAGTGCAAACTTACTGGTAACAAATGTGACCTTTAACCTCTGCAGGTAGCTACTGAAAAAGGAAAAAAATAATGATTCAACTTGATGACCGATTCAATTCATCAATTTTCTTTTCATTACGACGGGACCAATGTTGGCCCGATGGGTCGGTAAACTCGAAAAAACAAAGTATGTAAAAATAAGGTAATAAATAACGTTTTTGAATTAATACACAATTTAAGAAGAAATTAAATACATTCATGTAGAAAACAGATTTTTAAAACACCATTAAAAAATAGTCTTTAATGTCCAGTTAAATCACTAAAAGGAATAATTTTATTAAACGAAAACGAAACACGTTCTGTTTTACTGCAAAAATGCATTTCTTTGTCACCGAAAAGAAAGAACTATAAAAAGGAATTGTGAAAAATCGTTTTTGTTTGATTTCGTCTGGCACAAAACAAATGAATGAGGGAGAGTATTTCGTGATGAGTGTCGAATATAACAATGTATTTTTTTGTTGTTTTTAACCAAATTATTGAAAATATGCAGTTTACTACACACACGGTAAATTATGGGTAAACGAAAACTTGTATAATTTTCAAATGCATATTTTTATTTTTAAAAGTGACTTTTAGTTTGCGTTTAAAAAATACTTAAAAAAATAAAATGTTTTTATCTTTTTTTTATGACGCAAAAATAAGGAAAAGTTATTTTATTTAATTATTATTTATTTGTTTTTAGGCCTACTCTAACTTTTAAATTTGTAAAATTAACATTAACAATAAAATTGATAAGGAATTATTGGAAATAAAACCAAAGAAAATAAGCAAAAGATCGATGTTTCCAATCGGCGCGAAAATTTTTTATTTTTTTTCAAAACAGACAAATTAAGAAAGTTGCAGTGAAGAACATAAAAATTATTTTTTTAAGTTAAAAAAATCTGATAAGATTATTTTCAAAAAATGAGATTTTTATTAAAAGTTTTATTTAATATCTTTTTTTATTAATCTGTTTTAATTTAAAACAGATTAATAAAAAAAGATATTTTTCAAGTATGTTTAGTTTACTAGTTTAAGTTTGTTTTCTTGTGACTGGCTTTTTTGTTTTCTTCTTGAAATTTTTCACTAGTGTAATGTTGTTGTTTTTTTTTATTTCCCTATGAAGTTTAAAACATTTTAAATTTGAATAAAACGATGAGAAAAGTGATGATAAAGATCCTACTGTAACAAAACAAAAACGAATTCTAAATGCCTAATCAATAATAGAATATTCTAAGTAAATATACTAACTTGTCGATAAATCGTCGCTAGTACGAATCCATGATCCACGCAAGGAGAACAAGCAGCTGGGCAATGACAGACTGCTTGAGAGGAAAGTGTTTATAATTCAAACACAACGCATTTCCAAATACTATGGATGCCCATTAGAGTAATTGTCACGTGAATTATTTTAATTTCTGATGAAATAGAAATTAATAATAATATAATTCAATTATTCCATGACTGTCTTAGTAGAACATCAGCGTATCTCTTTAATGGATTCTTCCTGATATTTCTCCTGGTGATTGGGATTATTTTAACGAACCGTGCCCATCTCCTCCCTAAGTAACAGTTACAAATTAAAAATAAATAATACGAATGGCAGGTAGTAAACAAACACTGACCTGACTCGCCTTATTGGAAGATGTGGAGGGAGTCATGTCTTTCAAAAAACTTAATGTATTGTAAAATTAGTTGAAATTTGATCTTACCGATTCCTTTTGTTCTTTTAGGACAACTCCATGCATAATAAGAAATTATAGGTGTAAAATTAAAAGTTATCATTTCACAGACTAACAAAAATACAAAACTAAATCTCACATATCTAAAATTATTGTTTATTCAACTCTGGACTTTGTCAATTTATATTGGCAAGTGGGTATGTGGCTTTGGGGTTTTTCTCTGAATGTGGAGACTTCTTGTGAAAGACTTTCTTTTTTCCCATCTTGGGTGGGTACTTATCTTCCTCTCACCTATTTGTTCTATAAGTGTATACATTCTAAATGTATGCATGAAGAATAAAAAGAAGCTGGATGCTATTTTTGTGAACTATGACATAGGTAGTTTGGCATATCATATATATTTTCCAAAAAGGACAAAAAGAAAGGTATGTAAAGTTCACGAACAACCTTGAAGCTGTGAATGATGGCAGCGAACCACTAATTCACCACTTGTATCAATCAATGATGAAATAATTATAAGATAAACCTAGTGTACTCAAAATGATTCATTTGAACAGGAGAATAAAAAAAGATTACAAAGCTCCTCACGATTTGAAACAGAACTAAAACTTTATTTTACTTCATGATTTAAAAGTAGATCACCATCTCAGTATAAATCATGATGTTGATCATCATGTTATAGGTCAAGGTCCATGACAAAGATATTAAAATCGAGATTTAGAAAAGAAAGTGAAATTATGGATTGGGATGTCGAATCTAAGCCTATTGAAAGTAATCCTACTGGTGTTGATCAATATCCAGGTATAAATTCTAATCCAACAAAGCATCTTGAAGATTATGTTAGGACTAACAGTGATGATAGTGTGAAAAACATAGACTATTGCTAATCTAAAGTTAATGTAGCCAATCAAGAAGCCATCAATTCAAAATATAGACATACAGGAGGAAATAAATGCAACAAAGGGAAAATAATACAAATGAAGTAATTCTCTTACTCAAAGGTAGAACATCAGTGGGAATTGTTGGATTTTCATGATTAAATCCAATAAAAACAGTGAGAAATAATATAAGGTACATTTTGTTATGAAACTATATTCACAAATCCCTAGCATTTATTCTTATAAAATCTTTTCATCTTTAGCATAAATTATGTCTATTAGAGAATGAATGGAATTAGCTGTTTAGTATAGTTTGTTCACCAGATACATGTCAAAACTATTGAAATTCTCTAATTGATTGTGAACTATATTGTATTTTTTTTTTTAAGTGTTTCACCCCAAGCAAGGCGAGAAGCCACTAGGGCGCAAGGGGTTACAGAAGATCAGATAGGAGTGATAGAAGAAAGGATGAGGAGAAGGGTAGTGGATATATCAAGGCAACTGGAGATGTCAATTGACATTACATTTGAATAGCTGGTGATCATAGCTCTCAGGAAAACTGGAATAGAGAAGGGAGTTCCACAGGCGAGAGGTGCAAGACATGAAGCTATTGGAGTAGAAGAGACAGCTACATTTAGGAGTTTCGACAGTGAAAGGGTGAGAGCGGGATGCCAGCCTCGTAGGGCGCTTGAATTCATGAAGTCTGGGAACCAGCGAATGCAGCTCCTCGGAGCAATTGCCATGAAAGTATTTGTAAAACAGACAGAGAGAGGCGACGGCATGTCTATGAGAAAGTGACTGTAGACGAGATGCCAGAGCAGGGCCAATTATATTGCATATCCGCCTCTGGAGCCTATCAAGAACCCCGAGGCAAGCAGAAGGGGCTCCAGACCATATATGGCACCAATACTCGAATGGTTGATTTGTAGATCTCGAGGATTGATTCTGGGGAGAAAAATTTCCTGGCCCGGCACAGGGAGCCAACTTTCCTTGTGGTGGACAAAGCAATTGACTCAATGTATTTGTTCCATCTCAGGTCAGCAGTCAACGTGAGCCCGAGCAGCCGCAGAGAACTGCTCTCGAGAAGATGAGCGTCAGACATTCTAATGGAGGGCAGGGAAAGATCTCTGTGGTGATTAATAGAGAGCAGTTTTGTTTTTGAAGCATTAAAGTTGACCAGCCAATTCCTGTCCCAGTTCACAACCAATTGGAGGTCCTTTTCGAGATGCACGGCCAGGTTAGTTTTGTCAGTGACACTAGATTTGTTTTTGAGGCAGGAGTAAATTGTGGTGCCATCCGCATAGATGCCAACTTGGGAATTTATGGCATCAGGAAGGTCATTTATGTAGATAAGGAATAGAGTGGGGCACGGATGGAGCCTTGAGGAACACCTGCATTCGTGGGATAGGAACTGGAGGAGAATCCGTTGAGAATGACCTTCAATTCACGGTTTGACAGGAATGATTGTATTAGGTCAAACAATCGACCCGTAATGCCATAACCCTGGAGCTTGCGAGGAAGGCCGGCGTGCCAAACCCTATCAAATGCTTTGGAGATGTCTAGGGCCACGGCACAAGCTTCCCCATTATTTTGAAGAGCTTGGTAGACAGTTTCAGTGATGGCCGTAAGCACATCATCTGTAGATTGGGCAAAGCAGAAGCCATATTGCTTGTCTGAGAGCAGATCATGGGATGTGAGGTTAGTAACCACTTCGGTATTGATTAGGGCTTCAAAGACTTTGCCGAAGAGGGGTAGGAGACTGATAGGACAGTAGTTAGAAGGGTCAGAGGGATTGCCAGAGTTCTTGAAGACTGGAACAATCGAAGAGGACTTCCAACAGTCAGGAAAACAAGATTCCTTGAGGCAGTAGTTATATAGTTTAGAGAGTTCAAGCGCGCATTTCTTCAAGACAATGGCTGGTATCCCATCTCCACCACTAGCCTTGTTGGGGTTTAAATTGGAGATAATGCCCAATACCAAAGACGGGGTCATGTGTAACCCACTCAATAGGGCCTCAGTTCTAAGAGGGAAGTCAGGTATGGGTACACCGGAAGAGTCGAGTGTTGCCCACTGGAGGTGACTGCAGGGACACCTTTCCATGCGCGACATGGCACTACAAACACCCCGGTATTATACAACTGTTGATCAAAGCAGTTGCTCAAAAACGCTACGCAAGAGTTAGGGCTCCTAACTACGAGTTGGAAACAGCAACCAGAGAACTGTCAACTGTGTACCCTCAGAATGAAGAGGTGATGTCACAGACTGCACACATCACAGGAGAAATGGAGCTGCACTAATACAGAGGCCAGAGAGAGAGAGTACTGGAAAACCCTTCTTAAACAAGAAACAAGGCGTAAGCCTCTACTCATGTCCAAGAGAAGGGGGAGGAGTGTTGACCGGGCGGTAGGAAAGCCTCCCTACTCCTATTACATATAACACATACAAGAACAAGAAAAACAGAAGGAAGGATAAGAGGGGGAGGTAATTGGCAAAGAGTCCTGGCTGACACTTGAATTTTACCCTTTCACAACATTAAGTTTTAACTTAGTATAAGTCCCATTGTCTATTCTAAAAAGAAATTGAAGAAAATAAGGTTATCTGGATATGATTAATCAAGATTCCATCCAACCACTTTCTAAACCTTATATGTAAACTAAAAATGTTTGCAGTAAAATCTTATTTTAATTCTGCTTGTCCTTTCCTTAGTTCCTTAGTTAATACATACGTACATTACACCCTGCCAATACTTCATAAATAATGGTCTATTCTGTTTTGATCATGTGGAAAGACGGAAAAGGCATATGAGAGATGCTATTCGGTTTTAGTGAGAAAATGGAAGAAAGTGAAGATAGAAGTGTTTAATGGCTATTTCAGTGAAAGGGAAAAGTTGTCAATTTCAAATCTTGTACTGCCCTTACTTCTTAAAATAATCACCCATATTTATAATTGTTATTGTAATATTTTGTTAAAGTTCTTAAGCTCAAATATTTAACAATGTGATAGGGGAATTTCTACTTATATTTTATTGTTATAGAACTTGCTATAAGCTTATTCAATCATTAAATTAAGAATTAAGATTCATCAAAAAATTCAATTTTCAGATATACATCCTATTATTTAACCCATATCTGGGGAAAAGCAGTGGATTCATACATCCATAAGAGTATTTGCATGTAAGTAAATGTAACAAACCTGACTAGAGTTATCCATTACACCACCACCTGCACATCCAAGCTTACAGCATTTGGTATTCCCAAGTGATCACCCATCTAGGTAGTGATCAAGCATGATGTTGCTTAACTTCAGTAATCATACAGGAACCAATATTTCAGCATGATATGGCTGTAAGGCACTGACTAATGTGAAGAAGCCCTTGGGCTATAAGTTCAAAATGAAGGACCTAAGAAAAATTGCTTGGTAGACAATTCATATGTGAAGGTGATGTAACTAGAATCAAACATACCATATATAAAAAAAAAGTTAATAATCCAACTTACTAAGCAGAATTTTAAGTCTAGGTTCACTCCTTTTGAAATGGATATAAATAACATATGACGTCTGTGGTGAATTGGTTGACAAGATGTACAAAGAAATAATATTAAGTTTATTTTAAAGCCACGCAACCAGATCTGTTGTAACAAAATTGTCACAACGTCTAGTAAAGCCAACCATTGCTTATTTAATTCTGGTAAAACATATCTTAAATTATTTGAAATTGTTGGGACTTTTAAAATGAACAAAAATAAATAAAATTACATTATTTAAATTCCGAGTTTCATCAAGTCTAAAAATAGACATGTAAAAGCAGACTTGTTGCCACTTGATGCAGATATAGTAGTAAGTATCCCATGTGATCCTTCCTAACCAATGAGAACATGGGCAAAAAATTAAATTTTGGCTTTTATTTGGTGCTTATCTCTGACTTATATAAGAATGCACCCAAAGCCACTCAGAGGATTAACAGCAAGCACACACAGAAGTGCTCAGAGTAATCTCACAAAGGTGAAACACACAAGACTACGAAGAACAATCACCATTCATTCAGAGCAACACAAGTGAGATAAAAGTTTTCCTCCAAACATAACGTTGACTGCAGAAAAA